TCAAAACTGGCATAATGCTCCCAGTGATCCATCTAGAGAGCACCACTTCCTACACTGCATCCCACTGACAGCAGTGAAGAAGATCTGACAAACTGGGTTGGTACTGATACGGTCCTGCAGGATGGAGTTTCAGACAGTTCTGGTTATTTTACAACAGAGGAAATTACACAGTACTCCTGCTCTGAGAATGAACTAGAGCTGTGCACTGAATGAAGTGATGTGTTCTGTGATGTCTGCCTTATTTCTTTTACAAACTGGAAGGTGATCTCGGCCAACCACAGTTTCAGAATCTGTAAGCTGGCATCTGACTAGCACAGGTTTTACAGCATTGGCTTTTTTAAGCAATCATAATATAATTTTTTCACTCTGCAGTGCACAAGAGAGACTGCTGCTCACTAGCCTCATTAAGAAATATAGATTGAAAGAATGCAAACACCAGACCTAATTTCTAAATGTTATTGTATGGGCCAGAGTAGTTCCACCACGCTTTCTTCCGTCAGCTGCATTAATTTTTGGCTACTGCTTTTAAGCAGAGCTGCCAAAAAAATATTTGGATCCTAGGGACATTTGTAAGCCCTGCAGGGCTCCCTTACCTCATTCAATCATCTTTCTCACAGATATAGAGATGCACATTTTTGCTGACTTCAGGGACATTCAAATACCCAGCAAATCATCTCTGTCTGATCCCATTTGAGCAGCTCTGTTTTTATTTATAATAATCCTTGAATTTTCAAGGGAATACACTAACATTCAGCTAACCCTATTTTTCCTAACTCACATTTAAAGGAAAATCAGGAATCTGACTTAGACAATATTTGGAACAGAACTTAACCTGAGAAGAAATAACTTAGGATGTTGTTGACCTTAGAGATCTACTTTAAAATAGATCTTCTGATGTAGCTGGGTTTTAAATCTCTGATTTGGTTCAGGCTGGTGTTAAAAAAATTAATAAAATGATGGCGTATTTAGGTATTAAAAGTTATGTAAATCTGATCTGTTGTTATCTAAAATAATTAAGTAAAATGTCCTTTACAAGGCACACCCCAGCCAGATGAAAATTGTTGGACATGTTGATCTGAACATTCCTTAAAATAAATGGAAGAGGATCCCTGGGACCCATGAACTCTCCAGACAGTGTCTGTTAACTGCTTATATACTATTTAAGCAACAGAAGCATCTTAATCTGGTCAGCTCTCTACCAAATTTGGTCATGCACATGTACTGGAGGACAAAAATCTTAACTGAGCAAATCAGAAAAAACAACATTTAAAACCAAAAGTCATTTATAGCACAAATTCTGATGAAAAACCCCCTAACACTCAAGAAGCTGCATAGCCTTTTAAAGCATGCTTTTAGCTTATCTCACCTCAGAAATCCCAAAACTAATGATAACAAGTGATTTTAAGTGTGTGTTTGGAAGTTTGCAGTATCCAAGAAATGGAGTGCATCCAGAGCAATATTACTGCCAGCAGCCAGAGCAACATGGTGTGAAAGTGGAGAGATGTTCACCAAGAGAAAAGGAGGTTTCTTATCTCAGCATTGCAGTGAAATATGCAGACCCTTACCTTCGGGGAAGCAATCTTCAGGCTCCATCAGCTCCTCAGCAAACTCAGGGATCTGCTCCAGCAGTTCTGCAGGATTTGTCAAATCCACTGTGCTGCCTTCAGAAAGACTGATTTCATCAAGCTTGTTGTCAACAAGAGCAAAGATGAGGAAAACAAATTGATCAATCACTCCGAAGGAAGTAGCTGAGTTTTTAGTCCTCTAACCACTAGCCCAGCTAAAGCCACCAAAACAGAGACATTGCCATGCACTTCACATGGTGCCCACTCCTCAAGTGACAGATCTGCCTAATCTGTGGTGAGCTAACAGTTGACCCATCAACAAGAACAATAACAAAAAGGTAGCACATAAAACTTACTTTTTGAAGCAAGATAGAAGCAAACCGTGGAAAGACAGTGAACAGCCATTGGATATTAATGGTAGGTGGAAGCTTGGAATGATGGAACCACGTCCTGAAGGCTCAGACCTTCAGATGGGGGGGACCAGAAGCAGGACCTAGCTCCTGGAACACTGAAGGATGAATTGGATGACCTGTGTTGGGTTCCTGTTTCTGGAGCTTTGTTCCTGAGGCTCCTGACCTACAGCTGATAGGTGAAATCTGCACCTTGTTGGTCAGGACCATGCTCTGCTTCCTGCTGTCACAGCTTCTCCTCTGAGATGAGCAGAAATCCCTCTGTCAACAGAGTCTTATCACACGGTGCTACAGGAATACGTGTGAGAGGGTCTTCCACTAGGCTTAATTTGTTCCCACTGTGTGATGTAGCCCTGGCCTTTTGGTCACACACTTCTGATCTCAGGGTGATGTAAGAGGAGGGGACATGGTTTTTGAAAGCCTTTCAAAGGTGTTATTGCTTGCCTGAAATATTTGATGCCACCATCTTAGGCACGTTGTTTAAATTCAACATTTCTCAAATCTTCCTCTGCAAAATGGGGACAAGAATATTCCTGCTCCCTGAAGCATTGGTTGCCTTATCTATTTAGAGCAGAAACTCTCAAGTAGACCTAAGTAAAAATTTCTGGGGAATATATTATTTTAAATCATTATTTTAGAGGCTGAATTTGCTATTAAAAGAGATGTGATACCTGATAAAATAAGTCACCCAAATAGGAAATAAAAATTTCATTTCAGGTCAAAACTTTCTTTTAAGAGAATCAAATAATTTTCTTTACAAGAAAACAGGATTTCTTTTCTGTATTTTACTTTACTGGTCAAAATAAAACCTTTCTATTTTGTGTTGATCTAAAATGATGTTTTACTTGGTTATTCAGTTTGGCCACTAAAGTAAAAGGTCTAATATTTGCCCAGCCTTACTCACAGTTTGTTTCTGACGGTATTAGGGCACTGTCTGGCATTGGTGGGCAAGACTAAAGCTGCTATCTTCTATTGGTCATACCAATGCAAAATAGTTATAAGCAGAAACCAGGAAAGGTGAGTTATATGTTAACTGTCATGTTCTGTTCTCTGAGCACCTACTGAAATCTTTTTGTGCTTTATCTTGGAATACTATTGTCTCCATTTAAAAAAAAAAATGAGGACAATAATACTTACCCATGCTTTCAAACAACCTGTGATATATTTATATGAGAGATGTCACGTACACACAAAATATTATTTTCATGAGTATGATGGTGATGGAGTTAAAGAATATGTACAGCTTTATGTATTTATTATTAATGTGAAAATGGGCCCTCTCTTTTCCAGTATACACAGTCAATGCAAAATTTATAGCTGAATTCAGAGAAATGCTGAACCTGGGGTAAAATGGACAAGATTGAACATTCCAGCAATGCTTGCAAGTGGGGATGGAAGCTACTTGTTTGCAATTAGCTGCAGCCTCCAGAAGGTCATAGTCTTGGCTAGGGTTTTTAAGGCTCTACTCGAAAGGACTGCAAACAATCGAGAAGAGACCTTTTAAAAAGAGTCAGAACAGAAAGCACAGGTCAAATACATGGATAAAGCTTCTAAAAAATCCATATTCATAATGCATCTGTTGTACAGAGCCTATTTTCTACAGACTACCAATGGTATATGATGGTGGAAAAAATGTCATATCGAGTTTTAGCACTGTCAGAACTTTCTGATACTGTTCATTAGGGAATGCATTTGGTTGTTAGCTGTTCTGTTATGCAGATGTCAAAACACAGATCACTGAAAGAGTCCTAAATCATATACAGCTGTAGGATGTAGAAAATAGGAGTCCCAATGAGAAAAGAAGCGTTGTTGAATATAATTCTTACCAATAGATAGAAATCAAAGAACAAGGTCAGCTCAACAGCATTGTCAGTGGGAGAGCTGGATTTAGCAGAGACAGGTTAGGAAATCCACAGAAGCCAATATGGTGTAATTATAACAGACTACAAGGAAAAGGTCTTAAAGAATCAAGAAGTCTCAAGAGTTCTTTATCAGAGGGAGTTTTTAGACAACATTAGAATCCATCAGCATCAAAGGGAGGTGGGGAACATGCAAAACAAAACAGACAGGATTCCTTCTGAAATGCTTTCAAAGAGGAGGCAGCAAATGTGGATTCAGAAACCGTTAGACCAAGGTCTGAGGGTCTGAACTGGGACTGGAAAAAGAAGGAACCATACATTTGAGGGAAAGATTAGGAAAGCTTGTAGGAAAGAAGCAAAGGTTACTCTTTGCCAGAAAAGTTAAAGGGATTAAGAAGGTTTTCATGAACTCAGTAATGGAAAGAAAAGAGCTAGAGACATAATAACAATTGATGAGGGAGATGCAACTAATCAAAATTCAGTTGCCTAGGAAAATAAATTATTTTTGAACGAATCCAACAAAAGGATCAATAAAAGAAGAGGGAGAGCCTGTTAGAATTAATACAAATGTAGGCAGAGAAGTATCTAGAAATCCTGAAACATATGCAAATCAGCAGAAGCAGACAAGGCACATTACAGGGCATAAAGGGATCCGATACACCCAGTTAACACACCATTAGCCATCAATAGTGAATGCTCACGGAAAATTGGAAACAACCCAGGACAGCAGCAATAAGTAAACACAGTACTAAGCTTAAGGAAGAGGAAAAGGGAATAATCATGGGAATCACAGATCACTAAACACTTGCTGTAGCCTGTGATTAAAGTAAATTAAATAAAGACTCAAAGGAGAAAAGGAGAGTGCTTCCTTGGAAGTGTTATAGAGATGTAAAGGCAGAGAGGTGGTTCTCCTGTATGCTAAGGGTACTGTGCACTAAAGGGTGCAAAGAGGACAAAAGAAGGCAAAAAAGGACAAACAGAATCTCCTCTTTCTTTCTTAGAATAAGCCAGTGGAGAAGGTGTACCAGGCAGAGGCAACGGGATCCGAGACCTGTCAAGATGCCCCTTTGGGAGGCTTCCCACCGGTGCATAAATCCTTGCTGCAGAGGGTAGTTTTTAATGTGTTTCTGGGTGGAGCGGTTGCTTTAAGTACCCCGACAGGGCTTCCACACCCACCGATTGTGTCTGCAATAGTGGCAAATTGGTCTAAATGGGTTTTTCAAAAAGCCTTTAGCAGTGAGATGCTGAAATCTAATTGAAAGTTGATGTCTGCTCAAGGCTTAACTCTTATCTCCCTTCCTCTCTCCCTCACCTCTGATGATCACAGCCTTAATCTATCAAATTGACATATGATATACAGACCCTAAGAAAATACCTGGATGTCTATCATAGAAAAGTCTACTTCTAAAATAAATTGTAATTGGCTTAGATTCACCTATTTCACTGCCGAATGGAGAAAAGCCATCCTAAGGACCAAAATATAGCAGAAACTTTGTCTTCAGAGGAGATCTGCAGGGATTAGAGTCAGCATTATCCTCACTATATAGGAGAATTACTGACCAGTATAATCCTCATGTTAGCCAATAATGTTAAATTGGAGAGAGTACTGAGGACAATGGAAAGGAAATGAAAAGAGAAGTGAAACATGAAGAGAATATAGCAAAATGGGACACGGCTCAAAGCAGTACAAATGAGAGAATTCCAGGAAAATTTCAGTGGAAATCCTGGAAGCCTGGAGTAATATTTAAAAAACTAGACATGACTTTGCAATGGGATATAACAATGCAGAAAATCTATATGAAAATATCATGTCTAGATAATGAGAGGCTAATTCCTTGCTTTATGGTTCTATGGAAGTTGTATTTGGAATATTGTGCTTAGTTCTTAGCAAATCAGCTCCGAAGAGGAACAATTGAAGGAGTTGCAAGAAAGAGGTAAAAAAAGTCATATGAAGGGCACAGAGACACTAATTTATAGGTAATAATGAAGAAACATTGGTGTGTGACTTCAGGAGGTGAGCTGAAGACAAAAGGAAGGAAACAACAGTCTATTAAATTAACATACTAATTCATAAAAAAGGGTGATGAATGAAATTGGTAAAAGAGAGTAATAAAATGATACTCTGAAAGGGAAACTGGTAAAAAGAAAAAGGCTAGTTATTAAAGCAATATACTCAGTCATGAGACTTTTTCTAAGCAAGTGAATTGTTCCCTTTGGCAAATGAAGAAGGTTGCCTGATACATTTAAAAGTGGGGTCCACAAAGCTGTGCAAAATATTTTATGGGGCAACGTTTTGGCAAAGAAATCAACCAGTTTGTTCTCTGAGGTCTTACCCACCTGTGACATCAATGATTTTATTTCTATGGTATTTTTCTGATGATTTATATAGTATGAATTTTTAATCATATAATGTATCCTTTACTGACATCAACAGTGTTTTATTCAGAAGACATCCAATGCTTCCTGTTATCGACTGAATCACTCAAAGCCCTGCCTCTTGGGCATTCCAAATCTGTTACTTCCTCACAGTTGCTGGCTTTATTTGGCTAGTCACAAGTTCTTGGGACATCCATCAAAAAGATGATTAGCATGTCCTTGTGTGCTGGCACAAAGATTATTTCTGACCAGGAGGACTGTAAGTATGTACTGTCCACGCAAGATCTGCCCTTCAAAAATAGCATCCTTTGGGCTTTGCTCTTTCATGTTGGCATTCATAGCTTCATGTGAACTTCCGTTTGATTTCAAGTCATCCCTGGATTATTGCCATATTCCTCCACCTCTTTCTAAGCAGCTGCAAATAGAATCAATTATACTCGACTATAGACAGGTGACATTTGTGTCCCAGGACCTTT